AATTCGGCCTACTTTTCTTAGTTGCACCCTCAAAAGCATAAAATGATAATAATCCATCGTCTTCAGCACACAAATCAAGTAAATAATTTTCTCCTTGACGACCTTTTACTACCCCTATAATAAAATCATCTTCTTGTGCGTAATATTTCTATGGAAATGTTTTTATTAATAATATTTTGCTAGTATCTTCTTTGTTTTCACTCTATATAAATATTCCTGCTTATGTTGAAAGTAAGATATTACTGGGTTAGAATTAAAAAGATTATTTATCGATTTAAAATTAACTTTTTAAATGACTTGTATTTATGGATTCTCCTGGTAATATTATTTACATATATTATTAATTCTTTTTATATTTAATTTGATATTTTATACAAATTAGTTTTATATTATTTGTGAAAAATTAATTAATTAAAATATTTTTTAAAAAGTTTTTAAAAATAATAATTAATATAATTAAATAAATTTATTAAATTTTTATCACATTTTTTTTTATTATATTCTTTAAAATAAATATATGTTTTATATATTTAATATTCTTGATAAAATGCTTAAAATAATATTTATTATTTTAAATATAAAATAATAATATTATAATTTTAAATTTACTGTATAATTGTCGATATTTTCTAAAAAAATTAATTAAATTTACACTTTTTTTTATATTAAAAACTATTAAATTTATTATTTATATAATTCTTATTAAAGATGTAAAAGAAATAAAATATTTAAACATAATTAAATTTCAATATATTTTTAATATATTATTAATAAATAATTATTAAAAAGTTTTTTACAAATATATTTTGCTTTGTTACTATAATTTCAGAATTTAAAGATGTTAATAACCTTTAAATTTCTGCTACTATATTTAAATATATAAAAATCTTTGTAATGGATATCACTAAGATTTATCAAGGCATATACAATATAAAATTATAAATATTTAAAAATAAACTTATATATATAATTAATTTAAAAAGACAAAAATATTTACATTTAAAAATAAATATAAATTTATGTATATTCATATAAAGAGAAAACTTAATAATAAATCAATTTTTTGGACATGAATACTAGTACCTAACCTTTTCAAGAATATATAAATCAAATATAAATAATCTTTTTCGTAATCTAATAAATATTTCCGAAATCCTTCGATAAATTATAAGTTTAATAGATTATTATTTTTTAATATTAATTATTAAAAAAATATTTTAAAATCTGACTAGTTCTTTATTTTAATATATATTATTATTCTTTTTATTAATTATTCGTTGTTATTACTTATTTTATAAACCAAATTAAAAATAAAAAAGGCTTTTATCTATTTTATTTTCGAAATTTTTTTTAATGGTTGAGTTATTTAAAAATGCAGTGAAAGTATAAAAAAACAATATATTCAAGTTATAAAATATAAAATAAATTAATCCACAATTAAAAATTATATTTATTAATAATTAATTTAATTATTTAACTTTCTATTATTTAAAAACAAAAATAAAATAATTATTTACATTAAAAAATTTTAAAAGATAAAATAATGAAATATAGGTTTAATTATAATTTATTATTATTTTAAAATAATTTTATAATTTATTATAAATATAATTTCGATAAAATTCTATATAAAATATTCTTTTTATATATTTAGAATTTTCATTATATTAAAGTTAAGTAATTATCAAAAATTTTTAAAAAATTAATTTTTAAAAAAAAATAATGCATTTTTTATTTATATTTTAAATATTAATAATAATAATTAACTAAAATTATATTATAATTATTTAAATGATATAGTTACATTAAAATTATATCAATATTTTAAAATATAAATATATATATAGTTTTTATTAAGATAAACAATAAAAAAAAAAGATTTTTTAATTCAGAATATATATTTATTTTATAAAAATAAAAAGCATTATGCATTAGTAAGTCTATAATTAAACTGAATAATAACCAATAAATTCTTAAGTTAAAAAATAAAACTTTTATACTTTTCTTAAGAAGTTAAAATCTATAGTTTTGATAAAAGATTTCGAAAGTTTTTTCAGATTTATGTGTATTATAATAATTGGAATTTTCATATTTTTCATAAAATCTATGCTAGAATTTAGAGATTATGCTCATAAAAACAATATTTATGTAATTCCCTTATCATACAATTTGATTTCTGTTTTTGCTGCTATATTATTTAGTGTAATTAAAAATATATATAAATATTTGAAAAAAATTAAAGTTTATAAAAAGATTTATTAGTAAAGTTTTTCATACGTTTGTAATGGAAAAATTAAATGATAAATATGTAGGAGTTTAAAGAGAATTGAGGGCTAAAAAAATACTAAAATGGACATATGATACGTTATATTATTCAACCACAACAGTATAAAAAATTAAAAAATATAATATATTTAAATAAAAAAGGCTTTTAGTTTTTGGGCATTTAAAGATGCTGATTTTATGCCATAATTTTTAGGAGGAGAAGGTTCTTGTTAGAATCTATTTAAAGATTATCCTTACTTTCCTTCAGGAAAAGCAAACAAATATTTATTATGCTTTCACTTAATATAGTTTGGTCACCACTTATTTTCGTTTTTTGAGTTAGTATTATTTAAAAGAAATGATGAATTTAAATTTTACGAATATACTTTACATCATTTTATGGCAGCAGGTCTTATATTTTATTCAGGAAATTTCAACTTTCTATATGTTTCAGCCCTTGTTCTTATTTTACATGATATGGGAGATATTATACTTGCTGGAGGAAGAGGTTATTGTGAAATGAAATTTATATCAAAATACATTTTGTATATGATAGTTATTTCAGCTTTGTTTGTTTGGATATGTTCAAGGCTATTGATTTTTCCTTTTTGTGTGATATATACGTGCTGGTAGTTTGCAGGAAATTTAATGTTATGGTATTTTTTATTAATATAATTATTTTTTAAATATTAAAAATTAAGGAATACAATTAAATACGGCTATTGGTATTTATTTATTTAATTAATTATACTATACGGAATGCATTTATATTGGACATTGTTTATGATTAAAATTGGAGTTGGATTTTTATTAAAACCTAAATACAATAATATTTACGATAATAAAGATTTTAAAAGCATTAAATTCTAAAAAAAACAAAAATGATATATTTATATATATATATAAATAAATAAAAAATTATGAAAATAAATGAATAAATTTTATGCCTTTCTTATTTTTTTTTATTAATATAAGTTAAAAGAAAATAAACATAAATAATAATATTTTTTTAAAAAAATCAATTCTTAATATCTAATTCTTTTTCATCATTATCCCAATTATTATTAAAATAAGGATCGTATTTTTATTTATATTTAATAGATTTAATTCTTGATTTTTTGTCTTTCCTAAATATATTTTTAGCTTCAATTAGTCCTTTTCTAAATATAGCTTAATATTCATCCCTTAACAAATTTCCAGCAGGTTAAATATTTCTAAGATTATCAGGTAGATCCTCTTCTAATAAGAAATCAGGTCCTTTTTAAATAAACTTTTTAATACCAATTCTTTCTGGTTTAAGATTTAACCCTGTGTTTTATTTAAGTTCCTCAAAAAATTGTTTTTTTTGACTTTTTATTTTTACATTTTCTTCAACTTTTTCTTGTTCTGTTTTTAATTCTTTTTTTGCTTTTTTAATAATATGTTTTTAATGTTCTTTTTGCCTTTCTTCTTTTTTTTCTTTTTATTCTTTTGTCATTTTCTGTAATTTTTTTGATTCTTCCATTTTCTAAGATAATTTTTAGTCTTTTAGTTTTCTCATTTCAGCTTTCTTTTCTAAAAACAATTTTTACTTTAGTTCTTCATCTTCCATTTCTATTGCTTATTATATAACTTTTTAATGGTCTTTATAACAAGGATTATAACTTTATCCACTTGAAGGTAATATAACATGTCTAACTTTTGACTTTTATATATTTCTATCAATACTTTTGTCTTGTTAAGTACTCCAAATATCTTATATTATTTCTTCTCCTTCTTCTTATTTTGAATGTTAAGGATTTAATTAAATTTATTTTTTATAATTTTATCTTTTAGCTTCTTTATTTTAACTATTCTTTTTTAGAAAGAAGACATTCATCTACTTCCTTTTTATGAAAGCGGTTAATGTGTAAAGGTTATTTTAATTTATTATTTTATTCGTGCGAAGTTATATCAATTTTGAAAGCTATTTTATTATTTGTCTTCAAATTTTTAGTTATTTTTTCTTGCACACTTTCGTTTGTCTTTTTTATTAATGCGTCTTCTATTTCTGTAAGGTCAATATTTTTTCTCCATCTTTATGTTCCCTTACGCGTATTTAGATTTTTCTTTTTTATTTTATCAGACATTTATATTTTTTTAATTTTAGATTTTATTAAATTTAAACTAATTTTTAATTTAAGTTTATTTTTACATTTATATATGTATTTTTAATTTTAAATACATTATATTATGAATATTTATATAAAATTATGATTTTTTATATAAAATTATTACATTATTTCCATAAATAATTTTTTTATGTTTAAATTTTTAATAAATATGGTTATTTTTTAATAAGTTAATCATTGACAATATTTTTTCTTTTTTGGCCTTTTTTTTTTTCTAATTAATCTCTTAATATTTTTTTCAAAATTAATTTAATATTTTTCATTAATATCATCTATTTTATATATTAAAAAATATGAATAGTTTTTTATTTTATCAAAAAAAGGAGCATCGTAAGAATTCTAACTTTTTATTAATTTTATTAATCTAAGTATTTTTTTAAGACAAAGCATCATTATTACAATTGCTTTTTTTTAGGGACATAATGTTACTATTATTGTATGTATATTTTCGATAAATAAAATTAGTTTAATCTCCTATAATAATATATATTTTAAATTTTAAATCATCTAGATGGTATACTTTTAATAAAATATGCGCTAGCGCATCAAATTATTTAATTTTCAGGGCATAATAAGTAAATACAAATCGTGAATCAAATTTATTTTTTGAAAAATTTCTTTTTTAGTATCAATATATATGCGTTAATTTATATTTATTTAGGCAGATATTTTATAAAAATAATTAAAATTCTTATTAATATATTATCTTTAGGTAATCAAATTATTTTCATTTTTTCTAGTTAGTCAATAAATTAAATATATTTATTTTTATATAGATACATAAAAACATAATATTAAATATTATTTTCTATTTTTTTATAATAATTTATTTGTTTACTATATTATATTTATTGATTTATTCTAAATTTTTAAAGTATCAAAGTTCTTAGAACTAATACAATGGTCAAAAGCTCTCAAAAATGTAACTTTTGGATTTATATTAGATACCTTTTATAAACTATTAAAACTATTTTTTCCATCTTCAGCAACTTATTCATATAATTATTACTTATTAAAGTTAGACTTATAATTTTTAAACTTAAACAAGTATATTTTAAAAAATTACCCAGCCTTTGGCCTGTTAAGCTTATCTTTTTAAATCTTCTTTATATCCAAAAATAGTAAATATTTCAAGGGTTAAATTTTATAGTTTACTTTTTTTTAAAAAATTTCTTCCTTACTTAAATTCTGAATATCTTATAATTTTTTTATTGATTTTTTTTTCAATTCATCATTAATTTACTAGTTTTAAATCTTAATTATTATGAATCTTCATCGTTATCGTTTTAATCAAAAAGCTCAATATCCTCATCTAATTTTTAAACTATGTTATCTTCATTTTTATTATATGAAATTATAAATTAATTAAAGTTAAAAGTCTATTAATTTCATATACATCTGTTTTATATTTTCAGTTTTTTATTATCATTTTTTTTAATAGTTAATTGGGTAATAGTAAATATAAAATTATTTATTTTTTACTTAAGGGTAACAATAATTCTTGTTTAAGCATTCCCTTATTAATATTATTTTGATAATAAAACGCCAATTTTTGTTAGTTATAAATTTTAAGATCAATTTATAAATTTTACTTATTATAATATGAATAACACTTTGCTATAAAAAAACATTTATCTATTTTGTCTTATTTATTTTTTTAAAAATAATTAAAGAAAAAATAAAATGCAATTTATATATATAATATAATCTAAATATTTTAAATAAAATATAAAATTTCAATTTCAATAAAAAAATAATAATTATTTTAATATAAATTTAATTTTATTTTTTAAAAATACATTTAAAATTCATTATTATTTTTATTTTTTATTTTTTTACAAAACTAAAAAATGTAAACAGATTTTCAAAATAGATTTAAAGGTAAAATTAGTACTATTTCAAAACACGGTTTAATAAACTCTTTAGATAATAGGACAAAAGGAGAATAACAATTCAATTTAAAACCTTAAATTAAAAATAAATTTGAATAATAAATAATTGATGAAAATCAATAATAGATTGAAATTAATAAAATGAAATATTAATAAAATATATCAAATTAATTAAATTAAAAATAGAATAAAAAATTGGATTTATAAAACAATAATGGAAATTATGAAAAATAAATAGAAAATAATTAATATAAATAAATAAAAATAGAGTAATAAAATAAAAAAGAAAATTTAAATTTATAAAAAGTCTAATAAATAGAAAAAAATGATTAATAAAAAACAAATAAAAATTAAAAAATAGTAGACTAAAAACAAATTATAGACTATTAAAATAATCCTTATAAATATTATAATCCTTTTATAATTAATGAATAAATGTAAGAATAATAATAATAATAATAATAATAATAATAATAATAATAATAATAATAATAATAATAATAATATAAATAATATAAATAATTTTAATAATTTTAATAAATTTAATAAATTTAGGATTAATAATCATCTTTATAATAATAGAAATTAAATTAAGATTTATATTGTAATTAAGAAAATTTAAATAAACATGAATAATAATTAATTATTAAATAGAAATAATAAAATTATCAAAAACTATCAGGTTATCAATAAGAATTTAAAAAAAATTGTAATTATTCGATTTAAAGAGGAGGATTAGGTGCTAATATTGGTACTTAGGAATGGGTAGAAAAGAAAGATAAAGTAAATAAAATGAATTAATATGCCACTCAAATAAATTATATAAATAAATAAGTAATTTAACCGACATAAATTAAAAAAGACATTTAGCATAAAAAAGAAAAAGAATTATCAAAACGAGAAAAGGCAATAGAGTTTTCAAAATAAATACCAAAACCTATTATAAAAGATAAAAAAAAAATAACAAAGTTGAAATTAATTAATAAAACACTGAATTAAATGATATCGAAATATTGGAACAATAACATTTATAATATATTAATAAGTTGTAGTATATAAAAATATGAATATATAATTAAATTCAAATTATATAATAAATATTATTCAATAATTATTTTGATTTTTCATAAATATAGATTAAAGATTTTTTATCTAAGTTAAATAATTTATTATATTTTATCTAAATTTATTCATTAAATGATAATTTACTTAATTTTATTTTTTTTTCAAATTTTTATAATAGTTTTACTCCGAATTAAATGTAATAATATAGTTTAAAAAAATATATTAACAAAATAAATAATTCTTATTAGTTAAAGTTATAAAAAATTAATTGAAAATAAAATAAAAAATTAAAATTTTTAAGTTAATTTATTTAATATAACTATTACTAATAATTTAATTATAAATATGTTGCTATCTTTATATTCCAATCAGTTTATTTTTAAAAATCTTCATTTATATATTACTACTTTTAAAAATTGAAATACTTTTTGTTCAATAATTCATGCTTTATTAATTTTTATTTTATCTTCAATTTTTAAAAAAAATTAATTAAAAAAAAGAATGTATGAAATAAACGTGTAATAACCTTTTTTTTTTTATTGCTAATTGATCTATTAAAAAAATTACAAAAAAATATAAATTTAAAAACTTGCCTTGAATATTTATTCAATTTACAAATTTTAATACTAATATTTATTTAGTTATTATGGCTTTAATATTTTATGTTATTAAAACATTTTCTTATTTTTTGTTTCAAATAATTATTACTATTTTATTAATTTAATTAATATAATAGATCTAGTTTTTAAATATAATTATTTTATGTATTTTAAGTTCTATAATATATTAGTCATAACTTTTAGTAATTTTTTTGTTTTCATTTTTTTTACGCTTTTTAATTATTTTTTTAAATTTTTTATCTATTCAATAAAAATAGAAATTTATGTATTTATATAAATAGAAATCAAAGAGATGTAAGATATATTATTTCGCTAAAAAACGCTATCTTAGGTTATATTTGAATTTAAACTCTCCATACAAAATTTTTGAACTATTGTAATCCATCCATATATTGTATTTATAATTATATTTTCCATTTTTAAATAATATATCTAGATGCAATAAATAAATAATATAATAATGATAAATCTTAAAAAATTAGATTTCTTTTAATTAAAAATATGATGAAAAATTATAAAAAAAAAAAATAACAAAAAATAAATATATATATAAATTTATAAATTATATTTAAATAAATATAATAACATTTTTATATCTTTATTTTAAATGTTCTTATTGCTTATATTAAATTAATTTGAAAATAATAACTTAATAAATTTCAGAATTATTTAGTTACCAAGAATAAAAACTTGACATTCATAGCGCTTTATGCCAAATTACATAATGGATTCTCAAATAATCTGAATATTCATCTTAAGATTTAGAGAAGAATAATGCAGTTAAAATTTTTATAATACCTCTTATTTTTGAAACCTTTTTATTTTTAAAAGTGTATAACTCCAATTTATAAAAATAATAGGATAATATGGCATAAAAGAATATAGGAAAATCAGTAAAAAGTAAATTTCAATGATCAATATGATAAATATATGTAGTAATTATTTATAATATTATATAATTCATTATTCTATTAAAATTTGGTCGTATAAATATTTTAATATAATACCTATATTATAATAAATTAAATTACTCTAATTCTTAGATATTAATTATTGCTCTTTTCGATTTGACTTTTTTTCTTATTTTTTTTGAAAATTTTTAATTTATTTTAAGATCCAAAGTGCTTTGGGTTTATGATTTTGGCACTTAAGGCAATTTTTATTAAAAAATTAATATTTGATTTTAGAACAGTAAAAGTTTGAATGGCAAATTACACGAAGATTTAGAGAACTTTTACCAAATTTGATCCACTTTATTTTTAATCTTTTTTTATATTAAAATTAAATTGTAAGTTAAATTTAGAAATAAAATAATGATAAATATTTATCATAATTTATCTTATTATTTATTAATTAATAATCTAAACCAATTAAAAAAATAAATACTTAGAGGAAAATAAATAATAAATATTATAAGTATTTTTTTATTATGATTAATACAAATCTATTAAAAATATTTTTTAAATATAAATTTTTAATTATATTGCAAATCTTTTTTATTTTAATTTAAATATATCATAGTTAATAGTAACTATTTTATATTATTTTTTATTTTTTTTTAAATTATTTTTATTTATTTTTGCGTTTTTTTATACTTAAACAAATATTTTTTTTTTATTTATATCTTTTTTTCAATTTTAAAATGTAAATTATTGATTATTATTTTCTTTTTTTAAAAAAATAAAATTAAATTTTAATACATATTTAATTTATAAGAATTTAAAAATGTATTTCTGCTTTAAATTATTGATTGCTTTTAATATAATTATTTCTATTTATGCATTTAAGAAAACTTTATTTAAGAGCTTTTCTTATTTAAAAGGAACTAAATGTCTTTCTATTCACTCAACATTAAATTATTAATTTGCTAGAGGTTAATTCATTTAAAATTATTAGAAAAATTATGAAAGTTACAGTAAAATATCCCTTTAATATTACGGAGATAATACAAAATATTTTGATAGTGACGTTTAATTAGGAAATGGTACTTTTGGTAATGTATATGTTGGTAAAACAAATAAAAATGAAACAATTGCTATTAAAAGATTAAATGAGTTTTATAAATGGGAACAGCATTATCAAGAAATATTTATCTTGAAACATATTAATAATGTCCCTCATATTGCACATTTATATGATGTAATAAGAGAGTAGAAATATCCCAATACAACATCCTTTGTAAAACAAATAAAAAAAAAAAAATTATGATTCAAAAAAATAACAAAAATATAAGATTTTTGAATTTATAAATGGTACCACTTTACATAAGAGTGCAAGAAATTTAACTAGCGATTATGAAGTTCGATATTTATCATATATATTATTGAAAGTAATTATAAAATATAAATAAACTTTAACATTATATATTTAAAAACGTATTTTATATATATTTAAATATAATTAAAAAAAATAATAAGATTATAATTACTTTATATTTTTATATAATTTTATTTAATAAAAATAAATATTAGACCTTAAATTAAACTCATGAATTAAATGTGATACACAATGATTTAAAAGGATGTAACATATAAATAAATTTAGAGTAATTATCTTTGAAAGTATTAGACTGGGGAATTTCATATATTTACCATCCATATCAAATTAAATCTAATATTGTAAAAAATACATTATTTTTAAATATTTTATTGAATTTTTTAGGGAGGTACAGTGAACTATAAATCTCCTGAATAACTTCTAAATTCAAACTTCGTAAGCCATTTTACCCCTGCAATAGATGTTTTTGCAGCTGGATTGTTAATAGCTAATTTAATGTATAGAGGAACTGATCTATTTTATAGTCATTTTGATTATGAAGTTTTTTCTAAATAAATTCAATTTTTTGGTTACAAAAAAATGACAAAACTTTCAGCCCTTTTAAATGTGAATATAAATTCGACTATATATTCTAATTTTACGTAGAAATAAATTTAATCAAATAATTTTTAAAATAATTAATATTTTTATTTAAAAGATTAAACAGAACAGGATTTTATCACAATTCATATTTAAAAAGAAGATAATTTATAACTACTGATGGTATTAATTTACTTTAATAAATGTTATAAATTAATCCTGTAATAATATAAATAAAATATAAAATTAATTATTTATTTTATTAAATTTAAATAGGCCGATAGAATTAGTATTTCAGAAGCACTTTAACATAAGTATTTTGATTCTATTAGAAATGTTTAAGAATCTTTATTTCATGATAATTGAAATAAAAAAATCATTATTTTTACATATTAATTTTTATAATAATTTTTCATTTATGTTAAAAAATCAAATTTTATATAAATTTAAGGCTATATTAAATATATTACTTCATTTTAAATTTATATTTCACTTTTTAAAAAAAACAAAATTAAAATTTATTTTTCAATTAAAAATACTAAATAAATTAAAAGTTTCAAATTTATATTATTTTTTAAAAAATGTCTTTCACAACTACTATTGGCATATAAATATGTAACACTTAATAAATAATTCTAAATAAAAGTATATGCTAAATTTTTGAGGTTTTTTTATATTTTATGCAATTTTTTTTCAAACTCAACGTTTTTATTTTTTTCGATTGGAATTTTAAAAAAATATAATAGGAAAAATATCAAAATAAGTAATTTATTATTTACCAAAAAGAAGAAAACTAAAAAACAAAATTTCATTCCAAATCTAATAAAAAAATATAATAAGTCTAAATATAAAAGAAATACAAGGTCAGTAAAAGAAGTTTATGATTTAATTTTGTTAAAAATGCACTGTAAAACTGCTATAGGATATTGTCAATAATTAATTATAAATATAAAAAATTATTATACACTAATATTCAAAATAAGAATATAGATAATTTCATGAATTTGATAACAAAAAATTACAGAACTCAAACACATTTTAATAATTTAATAAGGATAAAAAATGATTGAGCTTTTGAATTTATTGGAGATGTATTAAATATCTTAGTATTTTTTATAAATTAAATCTTATATTAGTTAATATTATCAAATTTCAAAATTTAAAGCATATTTAAGATTCCTGGCTCATGTTTATTATAAATGTAATTTAATAAAATAAAACAAATTAAAGGATATTATGACAAATTTGAAACTAATTAATATCTTAATTTTATTCAATTAAAATGAGGGCTGTTCTTAATCTTAATCTTCATTTTTATTTATTAATTTATTTAGAATATATTTTTTTTGATAAATAAATTTTTTTGTGAACACTATTTTAAATACTCAATATTCTTATTATAAATATAAAACTAATAAAAAAAGGTTTATTCGTTTTTTTCAACAATTAGTAAAAAGAATAATATTTCTTATTTATATTTACAATTTTAACAATATTGATGATTGTATATTTAGCACTAAATTAATTATAAAAAAATTCCAGATAGTCTCAATAAAAAAGGGGTATTAAGCGCATTCTATAATTTTAAATAATTGTTCTTATTTTATTTCTATATTTTAATTAATTAAGTAATGGATAATCATTCTAAAATATAAAATGAATTTAAAGAGATGAATAATGGACCTGGATTAGTTAAAATTATTATTTGTTTTTGATTTGATTATATATTTTAATATAAAAAACATAGGATCATATTGATTAATTACTTTGCAAATTTAAATGATATGAATCATAACCAATATGTTGAAAGTTATATATAAATTATAATATAGTTAAATAATAATTATTCAATATATTTATATAATTTAAAATTAATTTATTTATAAAATATATTAGAAATGAGTGTTTTAATTTATCTATTTTTAAAAGGCTTCTATATATGTATATTTAATGTCAAAAGTATGTATTTTTTCAAATTTAATGTGTTTAAGGATTTGTTACACTTTTTATAATTTTATCATTATCCTTTGTTATTATTTAAATTTACAATAATATACATATATATGTATATATACTCCTGTAATAATAAGAGATTTTCTTGGATTATATCTGCATTTATTTATGATATTGACAACCTTTTTAAAATCGTAAAAAATAATAGTTAATTAAAATAAAATAAAATTAATAAATAGCATACTTCAGCTTCACTAGGAGTTCTTAATATTTTTCCATTATATTCATAAATTATAGATTTGATTGGTTCATAATAACCTTCTCCGACATCTTTAATATATTTATGTATTTTATTAAAAACCATTTATATTTAAATACCATATGTTCCTTCAGGGATATCATGAGGTTTTTTTTCCTCTTTTGTCATTTATGTTGCACCTGCAGGTTTTATTCCATTTAAAATCTCAGGATAAAACCTTCTATCTTCTCCTTAACAATAATTCCAGTTTTAAGATTCATATTTTAAATTATCTGCAAAATAATAATCTCCTTTTATCATTTTTCCATGTTACCAATATGCTTTATATTTTCCTCCGTTTGGATCTTTAACAATTATTTTGTACTTTTATATATTTTATGTAATTATTTTTACATGTTAATATCCCCTCTCCATGAAATTATCCTTTCACAAAATCACCTTCATAAATTACTCCGTTTGGATAATTAAACTTTCCTTTTTTTTTTTCAAATATTATATATTTTTTTATTAAACCTTTTCCATGAAACCAACCATCTTTATATTCACCTTCATATATACTTCCTGACCAAATAGACATATTTTTTATGAATAATTTATATAACTTTTTTTATATTTTTTTATTATTTTAATTAATTTATTTTTAATATAATCTAAAAAAATTTATATATTGAATTTTAAATTTATGTATTAATTGCTAATTATTATTTTTAAATAAAATTTCAAGAAGAATTTTATAGTAAAAATTTACTAAAATAATGTATAAATAAAATATAATTTCAAAAAATAAATATATTAATACTAAAATAAAATTAAAGTTCATGATAATTAATATAATAGATAAATAATTTTTTTTTTTTGAGAAAAAAAAAAAAAAACTTATAATATTTCATTCTAAATTTTTGTAAATAGTATAATAAGGAATCATAGAAAAATTAGCAATATTAATAGCCTCAAATGCTGTATATTTTTTCTTCTAAATAAGATTAGCCCAAACTGCTAGGGTAAAATCAGTATAAAAGTACAATCCATTATGCCTTGAACAATCAATATGAGGTTTCAATTAAAATTCTTCAGATTAAAGGACAGAAATAGCATCGATGATTTATTCATTAATTTAATCAGAAATTGTTAAACAAAAAACACCGATTTCTCCTCCTTCTAAAAATAATAAATTAGCAAAAGAAATAAAAAAATATAATAAAATAAAAAGTACCTTAAGTTCTAGAGACATTAACATAATAAACAAACTTAGTTTCTCCAACTTAGAATTCAAATGCTGCTAAAGTGTTGATTTTTTTGTTATTTTACTTCATATCTTAAAGAATTAACTTAATTTAAGCGAGCATATCATTAATAGTATTATTATTAATTTCTTCAAACTATGCATTAACAATACCCATATCTGCACAATCTTAATATTATTAAATTATTTCTTAAAACTTCTATTAAATTGCTTCTTCATTTTTTTCTATTTCTGCGTATAACAATTCAAGTGAAGTAAGTATATAAAATACCCTTTCAATAGTATTTTAATTGACTTTTATATCTACCTAAGCAGTATAATCTTCATAGCAAATTGGGAAAAGCATTAGAATGTATTAAAGCCAGATTTCTTCGTCATAAACTTATAATATTTTAATAGTTTCATCTTCAACTTTTTAAGGAGATACAGTAAAACCTTCAAATTAAAATAACTAACAGAAAAAGAATGCAAATTATTACAATTACTACATTGCCTCTTGGCTTAAATCAACTAAATAAAAGAAAGAAATTGCTTGAACTTCCTAATTTACTTCCATAAGTTAAAATCCAAATTGATTTTCTTAGAAAGGGAAATATAATTTTGTCATCGGACTAATTTAAATTTATTCAGTGTGTGAATAATAAGTTTCGTGTATTTTTTACATATATTATTCTGCTTCTTTTTCTATTTCCTATTAAGTCATATATAACTCAAATAAATCTAAAAGTTAATCACCATGATCAAAATCGAAATAATAACTCATTCCTAATTGCATAAATTCCTCATATAAAGTCAAAACATAATCAAATTTATTAAATTTGGATAAGTTTATTTAATTCGATCTGCCAAAGCGAGTTTTTTTTACATATTCGTTAGTTTTATGAATTAGTTAATTTACTAATTCCATTTAAGCTTCAAACTCTTGTCTTTATTATTCGTTAAATTCTTCCTAAAGTTTAATTTATTCAGAATTCATTTAACTTGATTCCTATTTACTTTTACTTTGTTAACTTCCTTCATTCTTTTTTTCTTGTAGTTCTTCTTCTATTTCAAAATCATCATTATATTATTCATCGTCATCATCCATTTTAAAGTCATAATTAAATAGACTTTATTTTTTAGTTTCTTCTTTTTTTACTTATTATTGTGCTGTGGGATTGACTTTTTATTAGTTCACATTATTATTACCTCCAATCATATTGCTTAAATCTTCTATATCATCATCAAATTAAAAATCATAATCATCTTCATCTTCATCATCATTTTTTTTTTTATTATCTGCGTTTTTAATTGGTAGAGATTTATCTTATGGTTATTTTATTAAAGGATCTTAAATAGTCTTTTCTTCTTTTTATGTAGATTTTTTCGGAAGAGAATCTGAAGAACCAATTATTTAACTATCTTCATCTAAATCAAATATATTTTTTTTTGCATTTCCTTATTGATTTAATTTATTTTCGATGACTTATTTTGGATTTTATTCCATTGATAAATCCTCATCTATTATTTCTTCAAAAAGATCTTCTTCAATATCATATTCTATATAATTATTATTATATTGAATATTATTTTTATTTTTTACTTTTATTTTAAGTTTCTAATTATTATTTTTTTTTCTCTTCATCGTCTTTTTTCTTTTTTTCTTCTTCTTCTTATTATTATTTTCTCCTTTCTTCATCCTCTTTTTTCTTTTTATCTTCTTCTTATTGTCTTCTTTTTTTTTCTTCTTCTTCTTTTTTTTTTTTTTCATCATCTAATTACTATTTCTTTTTCCTTTCTTCTTCTTCCTTTTTTTTTTTTTCATCATCTAATTATTATTATTTTTTCATTTCTTCTTCTTCTTTTTTTTTCTTATCCTCTTCTTATTGTTTTCTTTTTTTTTCTTCTTCTTCTTATTATTATTTTCTCCTTTCTTCATCCTCTTTTTTCTTTTTATCTTCTTCTTATTGCTTTCTTTTTTTTCTTCTTCTTCTTTTTTCTTTCTATCTTCTTCCTATTGTTTTCTTTTTTTCTTCTTCTTCTTTTTTTTCTTATCTTCCATTTTTTCTTTTCTTCTTCTTAAATTTTTTTTACTTTTCTTCTTGTTGTAATTTTTTTGCAACTCTTATTTTGCTTTTTCTTCTTCAAGTTATTCTTATTTTCTTTTCTTATCTTCTTCTACTTTTAATTTTCTTTTTCTTTCTTCTTCTTCATCTTTTTATTTTTTTTTCAGTTCTATTTCTTCTAATTTTTTTAAATTAATTTTTTTCTTCTTCTGCTTTTTTATTTTTTTCCTCTTCTTCTCTAATTTGTTTTTTAATTTTTATAAAAAATAATTTTTTTAAAAAACTTTTATTTTTATAGTTTTCTCTCTTATTTTTCTTTTTCTTCTTTTTCTTTAATTTCTTATAATTTTCTATTATATTCTTCTTCTTTCTTTTTTTTTTCTTCAATAGCTTTTTATTATTTTATTTTCTCTTATTCTTCTCTTAATTTTTTTTGTCTCTCTTATTCTTCCTTTAATTTTCTTTCTTCTTCTCTTTATTTATCTTTGATTGATTCTAACATGCTTTTTTATTTATGTTCTTCTTCTATTTTTTTTTCTTTAATTCCTCCTTATAATTTACTAGCAAAACCCCCTTTACTTTTTTCCTCTTACTCTTTTCTTAATTAATATTCCATATCTTTTCTATTTTTTATTTCATCAACAAGTTTTCCTGCTAAAGAATTTCTTTATCGTTCTTCTTCTTCTTTTAACCTTTCTTCATCTTTTTTAGACTTAATACCTTCAATAAGTTTACTTTAAAATTCACTTTTTTTTCTATCTTCTTCTTCTTTAATTTTTTTTTCTAATTCTTACCTTTTTTTAAATTCATCTTATCTTCTTCTTAATTATTCATCTTGATACCTTTAGTCTTCTTCTGCTCTTTTTCTTAATTCTTCTTACTGGTATACTTTTTTCTCTTACTTTTATGTTAATTAATTTTTAAAAACTAACTTTTTATCGGCAGATTCTTAAAAAGCTTATATTTAAGTTTGAATTTCTTATAACTTATTTTATTATTTTTTGATTAAAATCCTTTGCTGGTTTTCCAATTTATTATTTTTTAACTTTTCTGTTATTGATTTATGCTTTTCTCCTTCTTTTAGAATAGCAAAGAGCATTTTTTCTTCTTTTTATATTATTTTCTCTTATTTTTCTTTTTCGAAATTCAAATTTCTAACTTTTTCTTAAATATCTAATAATCGTTTAATCTCTTATTAAATTTAGTTTTTTTTTTCTCTTTATTAATGCAGCTTATCTATTTATTCTGTTAATTTTTCTTAGTTTTATTTCATATCTTGCTGTTTTTATTCTTCTTCTTTTATTTTTTTCTCTAATTCAGCTTTTTAATCATTCAATTCTTTTATTTTTAAACCAATTTTATTATCCTATTTATAATAAATAAAAAATTATTTTAAAAAATAAAAAATATATACAGTTAGTTTAGCATTTTCCTTTAATTTTCTAATAAATTTCTTTACATTTGCCCTTATTTTAATATCTAACAAAAAGTTATTAGCTGTTTTATCTAAATGATAATTCTATTTATTTTTTTACATTTACTTATGAAGTTTATCTTCTAAATCCAATTCCTAGAACTATTAATTATCTTTCATTAATGCATCTTCTAACTTTTAAAATAAAATTAGAGTATATTCACCCAAATTATTTTTTGCAAATTCTCTTTTATCTTCGTCTTCCAAATGTATTTTATTACTCAAAATATTCTGGTATTTTTCTTAAATAAATTGATTTTCAAATTCTTTATATTCAATAATATCTTTCAAAGCGTTTTTTATTTCTTTAAAAAGTTCGTTTACTTTTAAGAAGTATTTTTCAATTTAAAAAAGGATTTTTTTTTCACAACTATCAAGGGCTTAAGTATCTAGTCTTCCGCTTAATACATCCATAAAGAATTCATGATTTTTCAGTTACAAAAACTCCTATTTAATTAAATTCATTTTTTCTGTGAGCTTTTTATTTTACTCACTTTAATCAAATTCTGGGAAAACTTTACCTTACTTGATTATATAATTATGTATATTTTAAAATACTTTTCTTCTTTCTCTTATAAATACGCTTTTTATTAATTATACATAATCTATTTTTGTGCATTAAAAAATTTTTTCGTTTACTATGTCATGAAATTTATTTGAAATCATGCTTTTTTTATATACAATTACAGTATTTTAAGTTTATAATGAAGGTATATCCAAATGGATAAAATCTGCGAAATTAACTGCCTCATTAGGATCTTTAACACAAATATGATATAAAATTTTATTATAGTCAAGCATACTTTTGCTTACTACATTAGAAAAGTCAGATTTAATGAAGTTATTGAGTGAAAGAATGTTTTCTAAGCATTTAAATACCTCGAAGTCATAAGCTTAAGAGTTATTTCTATTTAAAAAAAATTCAGTAAGTTTATTAGAAATTTCATTAACTCCCTATTTAAGTAGATTTTTAAAAGTTTAAAATTCATAATCGTCCTCAAGAGAACTTGGATCAAAATTATTGATGGCGTTTTTATCTAATTTATCCATAAATTCATCAATTTTTTTTTATAATATAGCTAACAATCTATTCTAATAATCCTTTCCATTTTCAGTTTTAATAATTAAATGATAAAAACTCTTTTCTAAGCCAGTAAAATCTCCTTCCAAACTTCTCAATTTATTTTGCAAATCCTCAAAATTACTAATTAAATAACTCCTTGTATCTTTCTCATTTACTATTTATTAAAATTTGTAATTGCTTTTTATTGACAACTCTTCTCCGAAAAGTGTTTTTACATTTTATTTTTTGTATGTCTATGGTTATTCGTATTCTTCCTAGTATTGTACATCCATATAGTTATTTACTTTCCTATGCACTTTCTACTTTATGAAATCTGGCTTGATCAAGCGTTGTTAAGTAAATGACTTTGGATATTAAGATATTATAACTGGATAAGGATTAATTATTTATTGAGTATTAGAAAATTAAGGAAAACTTTAAGTAAATATAGGGGGAACTGGATTATAGAACTAATTATCTTGAGAAGAAATATGCATATTATAATATGAGTCATACTGGTTTTTATATTATTATAGTGAAATCATACTTTTATATTTTTTTATAATATATATTTAAATTTTTTTTAAAATATATTGATATTTTATATGCAAATTAATTTCTAAATATATTTTTTATTTTTAATTTAAAAAAAATTAATTTATATTTATGAAATCAACATCAAAAAAATAAAATGTTGCAAGATATAATAAATTATGTTTAGTTAGAAAAAATTTATAATAATCACAATATATTTATTATAAATTAAAAAATTAATTCTTATAAACCCTCCCTATGCTTGCATAAAATAAAATTTTAAAATTTTTTGAAGCCCATAATCTCTCGACTCAACTTTAGAATAACTAGTTACTCTATTTAGTGCGATTTTATAAAAATCATAATAAAGAAAAGCTATCAAAATTTTAGATTGAGCATTTAACATATTCAATTGTTTGTATTTAAATATAAACCTGAATTAAAAATAATTATTTTTATATATTTAAATAAGTTTAAATAATATTATATATATTTATTAATTTTAAATTAATACATATATTTTAATTTATTTTAATATACTATTATTTATTATTTTTAATAGTTCAATAAATTTAATAAAAATTTTTATAAATTTGTGATAAATTTTAAAATATATATATATTATATATATCAAATTAAACTTTCTATAAACTAAATTTTATTTTTAATTTTTTTAATTTCTAAAAAGTTATTTTGATTTTCTAATATTTTCTAATTCAATCTTAATTTTTAATTATAATTTTAATAATTTTGCAAAAATAAAACTTTATCTTTATAAGCTAAATTAAAGTGCCCCTAAGTTTAATTAATATAGCTTCTGTATAATATATAAATATAATCTAATTAGTTATTTTCAATAGCTTTATTTATAAAATATATAGCTTAACTATATTATTTCAAATTAAAATAACATTAACTTATATAAAAATATGCCTAATCAACATCAAATTTACTTATTTATGTATATTTTTCAAAAAATATAATGCTTAAGCCATAATTTTATTATAAAAAATAACATTAGCTAAGCAAAAAATAAACTTTTGGCGATAAATTATAATTTATTGATAAACAAATTTCTAATAATTGCTTACATTCTTTGATTTTTCCTATTTCAAATTTAATTTTAGATAAAATAAACATAAAATCACAGTTTTAAGGTTCTTATTACATTAGAAATTCTAAAATATATTCTGATTCATCAAGCTTATACGACTGCATTAAAAAAATAGCGTAAAATAACATTTTATTGGTATTTAAATTCTCATTATTTGCTAATTTAAGTATTTTGTTTTTTTATTAAATTTTTAGCATTTATTCATTCTTCATTTAATATTCTTATTAATTTTTAACTGTCTAAACTTATTAAATATTTTATTATTATATAATAGGCATGTGTAATTAATTAAATTATTAGATATCCTATTAATCTTCAATATTATTTAATTAATTATTTATGTATTTTAATTCACCTTTCTATATTTAATAATTAAATAAAGTTTTTTTTAATTCAATAATATTATTTTCTAATTTTTAAAATTATTTTTCTTGAGAAACCTATTTTTAATATTTAAGGTTTAGTTTAAATTAATTTTAATAGACTCTTTCACCAAACTTTTCAATTATTTTTACTCTTTCATCAACTTCTTAAATTGAAGAATTATTTTATTAATCTCTATTATTAAAATAAATAAGTATATATATTTTATAAAAAATGAAAAATTAATAAAAAAATATTTATATATAAAAATAAATAATGAATAAATATTTTATACAATTCTTTTTATTTATCATTTTATTTTTTAAAAAAACTCAATTAAAATAATGCTATTATAAATTATTTTGACTTTTTTATTTGTTGATTAAGTTTTATAATAAATAACAGGAAAAATAAAAAAAATCAATACAATAATAATTATTATTTTAATTTTACAAATTTTTTATATAAATATCATAAACACCATTTACAATATAATCCATATATTTCTCAAAAATTAAGCTACTTTTGTAATTAATTTTAAAATTAAATTTAAATTATAAAAAGTTAAAATATAATTTAAATATATATTAATAAAATATTCAATTTAAAATAATGATATAAACTATAAAAAATAAAATAAATATTATATTATAAGTAAATTTTAATAAATTAAAGTGATTTTCGATTAAGTTTTTTTTGCTAGCAATAAGAAATATTTTTAATTTTTTTAATAAATTTTAATATTAAATAATATTAAAGCATATTTAATATAAAAATTTAGTTTATTTAAAAATAAAATTTGAATTCTAAAATTATTTTAATATATATTCAAAGCATTTATAAACAAATAAGTAATATTAACCTTTCACTAATTTTTAAAAAATTGTAATTAAGTGTAAGTTTTTTTTTGACAAATATAAGATTATAAGTATATAATTTTGTAATAAAACTATTATTTTTCTTTGAAATAAATTATATTTCAAATATTATAGCCCTTTTAAAAATTAACTATTATTCTTTTTAAAAAATTATAAATATTATTAATAGATAATATATTTTTTAAGTTAATAAAGATATTTCTAATTTTTAGCACATTTTCTATTTTTTTTTTAAATAAAATATATTAAAAAATACAAAAGTTATAAATTTTAAGCAATTTTAAAACCTTTTACACGAATATAATTTATATGTAATTGATATTATATATAAAAAATTAAATATAAAACTCTTAGAGCTAAAAATTATCGAGTAATAGATTAGCTAAAGCAATCGTATTAATAAATTAATTTAAATATCTTATTTACCCAACATAAAATTTGATTTAAATACTATGCAACGACTATCATAAATATAATATTTTGTATTAATGTTCAAATATTAAAGGAGTGTGCTCTTTTTGCAACAAATAAATATAATTATTCTATATTATAATAAAATAATGTATTTATTTACCTTTGTGCTATTTTAAAGTTATATTAATGGTTAGGGTTTAAAGCTTTGTATTAATAAATTTATTTCTTCATAATAAATATAACTTCTTTATATGAAAAGTGACTGAAACAATCATTTCGAAGTTTGTTATTTATTTTTTTAGTCAAACGTTATTTATTTTTTTAGTCAAAAAAGTGCAATAATCAATCTTATTTTTTTCATATTAAAACTAAAATATTTTGTTCAAAGTTGCGAAAAATAATGGAAGATAATATTTTTTATTTAAAGTATATATATTACTTATAATAATTATGTCATAAATGTTATTTTGAGTTTCAAAATTAATTAATAAATTATATTTATAAGTTTTTATTAAATGTATATATTTTGCAAAATAATTTTTACTTGCGTCAATTAGCTTTTGCCTTTTGCTAATTGCTTTAATTTTTGTACATAATTTAATCAAATAACTTTAAACATTTGTTATAGATTTTATATTATTATTTATGTAGAATTTTCTTTATTATATTTTATAGTAGTAAATTTTTTTGACTATTATGATCATGTATCTTTATTTATTTAAGGCCTCCTCAAAATTTTTATTACCTAAGCGATTTCAATGCCGTGAGATTGTTTTATAAATTGTTAAAAATATCTATTTCTTTATTTAATAAATAAATATTTAAGAAATTTAGAAAATATTGATAAAATTTTGAAATTAGATAAATCAATTATTAACAGCCTATATCATCGAATAATATGTAATTTAAAAAATAAAATATAAGATTACAAATATTTTTCCTTTTAATTAAAAATCATTTTATTTATATGATTTATAATTAGAGTTATTGATTATAAAATTGAATTTATTGGTTATTAAAAATAAATATAGTAATGGGATATCTAATTTTTTTTTAAGCTTGATAATATTTTAGTAATTATATGAGATTTTAATAAAAGAAAACAATATTTTCCTGCTTTTTGAATATATAACTAAATGAAAATAAAGAAATTAAGAAAATTTTAAAAGTTAAAACGTAACTGATTATAATTGCTTAGATAAGTTTTTTAGTTCAAAATTTTAATACATATAGACTTTATATACATGCCATCATATTATCTTAATTTATTTAAAAAATATTATATGTATTAAATATTTTTATTTAAATATATTTAAAAAAAATTAAATTAAAATAAAGATAAAAATAATAATAAAAATAAAAATATATACAATAGCAAATAGAAATATAAATTTTTTACACCTAAAAAAGAATAAAAAATAATAACATATAAAAAAAACAAATAAGAAAAAAATAAGTATAAATGCAAGCACAAGAAAAAAAATAGCAGTTTAATCCATGTAAATAAAAATAACAAACAGTATATTTATTTAAAAATAGAAAATAAAAATATTTATTTAAAAATTAAAAAAATAAAAGATAAAGTAGCATTATTTAGTGCATTAGGAAGTTTAGCAGCCGAGATGTTATTATATCCATTAGATACAATATGTACAAAAATAGTTTCAAATACAAAGCAATATTTGACTTTAAAATAAGGATATAATATGATTGTAAGTAAAGAAGGAGTAAAAGGTTTATATAGAGGCTTTAGTACAATAGTACATTGTAGCTTCACACCTAGTATAATATATTTTTTTAGTTACGAAAAAATGAATAAATATTGTTTGAAAAGAATTAATTAAATTTAAAATGAAAAAATGAAAACTTTATGTAAATAAACAATGCCTCTTATTACTTCTTCCATTGCAGAAATTTTGTGTTTTATTCCTTATATGCCTTTTGACGTGGTACGTAATAGGTTGCAAATAAATGACCCCAATTTCTAGTACAAAGGATGTATAGATGGTTTAAAATAGATATATAAAAAAGGTTTTTTCTATATTTATATAATTAGTTAATTAATTAATTATTTAATTTTAATATTATAGAAGGCTTTCTAAGATTATATAAAGCAAGTCATATACATATAATTACAACTACTTTTTACACAGGCATTATGTTTTGGCTATATGAATTATAAAGATACCATTTATTAAAAAATAATAAATAAAGAAAATAAAATACACTTAACTTTTTAGAAAGTACAGTTATTTCTTTAATAAGCACACTTATTTCCACTATTATCATAAATCCTTTAGATTTAATTTTGACAAGATACTAAATTATTGATACTAATAAATAAAAATTATCAACAAAAATTATAGTTTAAGATTTAATAAAAAATGAAGGTTATTTAGCCTTCTTTAAAGGCCTTAGCAGTAGAATTACAATTTAAAGTTCTCATGTAGTTATTTGGATGCCTATATATGACCACTTTAAAGGAATTTATGGCGCAGATATTTATGAAAATACTTTGTATTGAAAATAATAATTATTAAAAAAAAAAGGGAAGTTAATAAAACTTAAATATTTATAAAATAAAAAATTGGAAATCTTATTTTTATAATTTAATATTTATAAACCTATAAATTTTCTATGTTGGTGTTCTTCAACTATATTTTTTATTGATTTAATTTATAAACCTCATAAATACTATTTATAGTATTAAATTTAATATTTTTTATATATAAATTGATAAAAAAAAAATTAATCTAAGAAAAATAGAAAAATTTATAGGTTTTTAAAAACATATGAGTATAAAAAATTGTTTTTTGACTTTTATATATATATTTTATTTTATGTATAAAATATTTTTAATAAAGTATAAATCAATTTTATTATTTAATTTTATTGATAATTTTTTCTTAATTTTTTATAATTATAATTTGAATTATATCAAATTAAATTTTTTATTTTATTTTAATGTTTTTAATATGTGTTTATTTATGAAAAATAATTTATTTATTTATTTATTTATTTATTTATTTATTATATTTTTTTATTTATTTATTTATTATATTTTTCTTAATTTATAATTTTTATAAATATATTTTTTTTAGTAATAATGTTTTGTAATTAAAATTTTTTAAGAAAACAAGTTTTTATTTACTAATGTATTCTTAGTGGTTTAAATTGTATAAGTTGCAAATCTAAATTAACTGAAAACTTAAAAAATTATTTATCCATATAAAAGATAACAATCGATATAATTACATAAAAGTTACATATATATATTACTTAGAAATAAGATTTATAAAAAATAAATGAAAATATTGAGAGCTTAGGGTTTAAAATTATATCGCCTTTTTCTGAATTAATTTAAAGTTCTATTTAATATCGCAAAATATATTTTATCTTAGATAATATCTAATTATATGATTAAATAATTAATCACTTAAACTAAAATTTATTTGAATTTAATTCATAATTATATAATTAAAATTAAAATATAATAATAGAAATAGAATATAATACATAGACTACATAATCATATGAAATATATTAAGAATTAAATAATATTTTCGGTAATAAAGTTATTTAATATAATTCATATTTAGAAGTTTTTTAACCAAAATAAAGTTAATTAAATATAAATTAAAATAAATATATTTTTTCTCTAATATATTTATTTATTTTTGCAATATTTTTAATGATAATTCCTCATATGTAATCCATATTTGATTGAAGAATGCATATTATATTACTATTTAACCATATTTTTAATTTTTACGTCTTTATTATATTTAGGCAGTGATACTATATTAAACTGTATAAAAAACTATGCTTTTTATTCAATTATTAATATGGAAACTTTAATATCATTAGGTTCATTATCATCATTAATTATGTTTGTTTTTAAGTTATTTAATAATAATACTTCAAATTAAGAAAAAATACATATTTTTTCTACTTCATCTTTAATTTTGATAATTGCTACAATCGGAAAATACAAAGAGGCCTAAGCAAAAGAAAAATTCTTAAAACGTAAAAAGATATTTTTAAAAAGCGATTACTAAAAAACTCCTTTGTAAACCGTATCCGATTAAATGAATCTAATATATCTGATATTTCTTCTTTAAAAACTGATTTAGTCGATGTTTCTTTTTTGGATAAAGATGATTACATTTTGATAAAAGCGCCTTTTACACTTTTAAATGATGTTACAATTATTAAAATTAATAAGGCTGGAATATAATAATCTTTAATTGTTTAAGATTAAATAATTTATGGAATAAATAATTCCTATGAAGCAAATGAAGGCTAGCTAATAAGAAGTGGTGCAGAAATATAAAAAGGAGAAGCTATTTGTTCTATTAATAAAACAATAGAAAATAGTATATTATATAATGTATGTTAATAATTAAATTTAGCTTAAAATAATTAAGATAGCAAAAGTGATGGATTAAATGCTTTATGTTAAAAATTTTGTGAAATATTTGTAAAATCAATATTTTTAATCGCTATTTTTTTTTTTTTAATATGGTTTTTATTTGCTCATTTTTTTTCTTTAACTTTAGATTTTTCTTTTGCTGCTGAAAAATTTATTTCAATCTTACTAATTTCATGTAAATTAAATAAAAATAAAATAAATAAGTATAAAAAAAGGCCCTTGTGCACTTGGACTTGCAATTCCTTGTGTTATATCAATAACTTTAAATATGGGTTTAAGAAACTCTGTTTTAATAAAAAAAAATTGTGTTTTTGAAAAAATCGATAATATAGACACTATTATATTTGATAAAACAGGAACTCTTTTTTAAAAAGTACATGAAATTGATTTCTTTTAAAATTTTCTTCCAGAAAAATATTCAGAGTAAAATTTATGGTAATTAATTTAAACTATTGAAAAAGATTCTAATAACCCCCTAGGATTAATGCTTTACTAAGAAAGTGTTAAAAAAACTAAGAATTTAAAATAAGATTTTTTAAAATATAAAATAATAACAAAATTTTAAAAAAAGAATGGCATAGAATGTCATTTATAAATTAATACAAAAAAAACAAATATCCTAATTGGAAATACTTAATTTTTTAAAGAAAATAATTTAGATTTAAATCTAGAAATAAATTAAAAAATTGTTTAATTAGAAAACAAAGGATATAATGTAATTTTAATGTCAATAGATAAGTAAATCTCATGTCAAATCTCTATAAATAGTATTTAGAATTTACGCCCTGAATCGAAATATGTAATTAATTAATTAAAAAAGAACAAATAAATATATATTCTAAGTGGGGATAAATAAGAATTAGTTTAGCAGATAGGTAGATATTTAAGGCTCAAAGAGGAGAACTTATTTGGAGAAATTGATTAATAATAAAAATAAGAGTTTATAAGAAATTTATAAATTAAATTGGGGAAAAAAGTCATTATGATAGGAGATGGTTTAAATGATATTTTAGCTTTGTAAGAAGCTTCTATAGGAATTTCAATAAATGCTTATAGTTAATTAAATTTAATTGCAAGTGATGTTATTATTTTGGACTAGAATCTCAACAAAATTCTATATTTTATTGATTTAATTTAAAAATCTAATTGTGTCATTAAAATTAATCTCATTTGGGTTTTTCTTTATAATATTATTATGATACCTATTGCAGCTGGATGTTTTTATAAATTAGGAGTATATATTTCCCCGCTATTTTCAACTATAGCTATGTGTTTAAGTTCTTTGATTGTAATTTTGTTTAGTAATATTGTTTGGCTTTTTAACTATAAAGATTAATCTACTTCTTTTAAAGATGAGTAATAAATAATTGATGAAGAAAAAGCAACTTATGATTCATTTTATCAATAATCTAATATTTTAGATTATAAATGATTAATTTTAAATTTAAATATATTTTATTTTAATATTAAACTAAGCAATTAATTTATTATATGTTTTATACACAATAAAATCAAACATATTATATATTTATCATAATTTATTATATGCATACTGAGGTTGGGTAAAAGAAATATGAATATTTTTATCGAAATAGCTTATAATTTGCATAATTTTTTTTATAATTATAACTTGTAACTTGATAAAATAGGCTTTAAAAGTGGTAAATTTATTTGATTATGCAAGACATATTAAATTTTCTTTCTAGATTTACATTCTTACAGTATTTTTTTTAAATGAATATATTTTTTTAAGACATTTATTATATGAAACAGATTATTAATATTATACAACTGTTTCCAGTGTATAGATATAAAATTATATTAAATAAAAAATTCTAAAAAATTGATTTTTAAAAAATGAAACCAAATATTTATAAAAAATGAATTCAATTTCTTTATCTAAATTGAAATCAATTTAAAAAATTATTATTTCATTTTAGCAATTATAAAATATAGGAAAAAAATTGAAAATAATTAAGTATATAAGCACATAATTTTTTTTTATATTTATGTTTTCTTCAATATATTTTTTATATATTATATTAAAAAATTTGTTTATAATTATTAATATTTTAAATTAGATAATATCCATTTTAATTTTCTTGTTTTTAAGCAAATAATCTCTTTCTTGTATTTCCTCTTTTGATTGCTTACTTATTCTGTTAAATTTCTCTAACGTTTGAAATATTTCATTTAAACTTTTTTAATTATAGTTTGAGAATATTTTACACTAAAACTAAGCTTTATTATTATTTTTTTAATTGAAATATATTATATAATAACAAAAAAAATAAGATTATGATTTTTTAAAAAACCTGATTATAACATAAAATATATAAGTATTCATTTATACATTTCAATGATATATTAATTTAAACCAAAAAAAAATTTTTAAAGAAATTAAATTGAATTATTTCGTTTTTTATAAGAAATATTTTTAGTATAATTAAATAAATTATAAAAAAATAAATTGTTGTTTGCAAATAATATAAAAAGTTTATAAAAATTATAAATTTATGTAATTTAATTGACACTTAATTAAAAAGCACTTATTATATATTAATTATAAAATAATACTGATTTTAGCCTAATATTTTTATATAATAGGTGTCAATTTAATATAACTCGGTGAGGCTTAATGTTAAATAAAACTCAATCATTAAATATAATATAAATTATATATTTTTACACATTTGAATATATTTTTACTATAAATATTAATATATAATTTAATTAATAACATATAATTTATATTAATTTAATAATTATCAAAATTAAAATATATCTTAGTTTTGAAATAAGTAATTTAAAAAATAATGATTACTAATTTTTTATTTTACCTAAAATTTTGAAAAAAAAATATATTTCTGAAATTTAATTTAAAAATAAATTATAAAAGATAATAATCAAATCAATTTAAATATAAATAAGATTATAATTAATTATATTACAGATAATATCTAAAAGATTATGGAACGATAAAAAATTTAAATTTGATAATAATATAATAAACACGATAATATAATTTTCACAAAATTAAATTATCTTATTAAGGCTCAAACATTAATGAACCAATAAAATATTGCAAATTTGTCTAAGAGATAAAAATTTAATAAAAAAAACATAAAATTAATTCGCATTTAAGATATAAAATGAAAATTTATTCTAATAATTTTATTAAAATTATTTATAATAACTTAAAAAATGGAGAAATGAAAACTATTTACTATAATATAGGTAAAACTGAGACTAATGCA